ATACGTGATAACCAACTACACCATCCAGCCAACTTGTTGGAGTACGCAACTTATTTTTGAATTATCATCGAATACTAAAGAAAAGAGTGGAAAAAGAATCTTTGTGCGTGCTGTTAAGCCATAAGTACTTGAAGGCGAGTGTCAAATACAATAACGTGAGCAGGGATGTGGTTATGGTTAGGGTAAATAGCAGTAGTTAGATACTTCAAAATAGATCAGATGTTGTCGATGACGGTTCCCTATCCTTTCACTGCATATATCATAGGATCCTTGGTGCTAGCTACTGCTCATGTATAGTGGCGGGATGCTTTATATATATCCGTTTCCAATCCCTGCCACAAGGTTCAGCCACCATCATGATGCTCAACACAGCCATCGTGATATTCTCGGACCGAGGAACAATCTTCCAAGATTGTGAAGGAAGCTGCGGATTACACGAATCAAATAATGTGGCTGCACATAACACACAAGCTCTTCCCACAATATATCGCTCTTCGCTTAGCCCAGAAGCTTTACAGTCGGGATGTCTAAATAAATTGCAAATGTTCTACCCCATAGAACGGAATGCTTACCGCGGTTACACCCTGGGAAGCGTTCCTGCAAAGCTTCAAACTCTGCAGGAGCCATGAAATGCCCCGAAATCTTCATGATCAGTTTTTCACCAGGCTCGAATAACATACCCGTCGGCCAAATATCAATCTCCAGCCACGTCTCCTCCCCTGCCTTGACTGGCAGAAGCTTCCTGTGTGAGAGTGTTCTCCAGTGAGGTGTTGACAATTCGTCCGCCACATCCCGATAAGATGCTCTCAAAACGCCATGTGGACCAAAGTATTGCATTAAATTTGTTAAAGGAACTTCTCCAGCTGAAGCCACACCCAAGTCTGCAAGTGGGATGTTAACATGCTGCAGATAGTTACCAGCGCGATCCGCCTTCCTCAGATGTACATAGACGTCCATGTCACCGCTATGCTCTGGCACAACGTAGAGTACAGCACGCAATGGCCCAAGGATAATGGTCTGTTCAAGGAAAGTGAAGGAAAAACTGATTTCCCTAGGATCATTGTCCCTCTGCCAGATTGGTGAAGCATCGGCTTGGTACGTCAATTTTCCCAGCACCAGCAGCTGGCTCTCTGTCAAACAACCACCGGCGCTCAAAAACAGCCTCTTATTGATGGTCTCCCGATGGGGCCAGAAAGGTTCCCTGAAAGGAATACCAGTCAGAGCTGGCTGATTGAACGGGAGCACTGTAACCCGAATCTATGGTATATTCGCCCAATCATTTGGTTCTTTCGTGTAGCAGTTAAAGAAAGAGTTCAATTCCTGAATCCTCTCAGAAGAGTACAGGTCGTACCACTCCTGTGTTCCATGGATTACAAGCCTGGACATCTATTAGCACGAGAGCATCAGAAGGCAGCTCGATGAACAGCACGGTCACCATTTCTTATCGTGGGGGATCTCTTCATAGCACCGGAAAGACCCCAACGTGTGACGCATCGTCGAATAACTGGCTGAAATGTACGCGGGGACCTGAATCTGGTCTATTCTCGCCCGTTTATCCTCCCAATAGGCATTCTTCAGCTCGGACTCAGCCATTGTAAGAATATCGTCAGCACCATTGCGACCTGTACATGATCAGAAAGACGAGAAGTCTCCACTACAGCAAGATATGGATATGAACCACAGAGCATGCTAGATGGATCCTTCTAAAACTGCTTTTCGGGAATCCCACCCCGGCGGAACTGCTCTCAAAGTGGATCGCTGAGACCTTTGAGGGGAGTGATATAAGCCAAATGTGGTGGCCTCTCAGCCGCGATAAACTATTGGGATATGGCTAGCCAGGAATTTCTCATTATGATTACTTTTCTATTATACCATGGCAGACCAGCGATTTCCTTAATAATATTATATCCATCTTTCCTGTTACTAGACCCCTAGAACCTTATAAAGCCCCCCGAATCCATTGCACCTCTGATATCTATATTAATAATAGTGTACCCACGAGGTACCTATTCAACAGGGTCGGGTCTGAGTGGTATATCAGCCAAAGACTGTTTAAGCTGTGATGACTTCTTCTTTATTCTTTACCCTCTAAAACTCTCATAACCAGATAGCCGCGATTCTGCTACCCCGACTCTTAGAGGGAAATGACTGAGATTTAAGTGACCTGCGGAGGGACTTGCGATTAGTAGGCTGTCTGTTGAGGAGTCAGACTGGCCATTATATATACCATTTCCGGACTTTCCGTATGGGCTCTAAACCATGATAGCCGGTACAAGAGTATCATATGTTGGACGGTATATATCGGCGTATATATGAGTCCCATCATGAAGGCGAAAAGATTGATCTGGCTTAAAGACCATAGATTAATGAAGGGGCCGATAGTTTTCTCTCTGTTTGTGGCTGACTGGCAACACGGTCATTGATGGATGAAGTTCCCGATCCGCAGGGGACATTTCTGGCCGGGGGAGGCGCCGCCAGCGTATTTTAGGGTTGGTGGATTCCATAATCACGATGTAGTTCGACTAATTGAAATAACATGCTCCCTGGGACCGATGATGCCTCCTCCTCTTTATACTACTTCAGAAACATTGCTTGGCCGATAATCCGATCTACATAATTCCGCCGATAACCTACTCTACATAGACCCGCTGATACATGCAGTCAGCTGCTAATTAATATAAACAACCACCAATACAGGGGGTCTCTCAGTTGAAGCAACTCAACAACTGGTCTGAATCTATCTGATATATAAAAAATGTTTCACAATCCAATACTACTAGGCAGTGGCGAGGAATTGAAGTCTCTTCTCATATGCAATCGTTAATCATGAAAATATGGATTTGAATCGCTAGTTATATAACAAAATAGCTAAGTAAATTCTTTGATTACTTGTATACCATAAATGATAACGTAGAGCAATTATAAGGTTGTCTCAAGTGTAAGGAACCACTACAGCTCCATGGGCTGCGGCATTAGCCATTCCGATCCACCCGACGTGACCCGGATATCCGCCTGGATCACTTCTCGGGGGAATTTGCGGGCGTTTTGACTTTCACTTAAGACTAGCTCACCACTGTTTGCAGAAGCATAAAGTCGGGTAGTTATACTTGAATTTTACCCCTTTCAGACTTGATATCGCAATAAATATTACTAATAGATCAAAAAACAAATGACCCCTATATTTGTACGGACGTGGTTTTCTCGCCCAGTATCCAGTAACCCCGACTAACAGAGCCGTTGTCCAATTGCCCAACAGAAGATATAAGCGTTTCAGGTGGAAAGGCTAAAACAGAGATATACCGTAGATCTCCTTCGAGAGTTCCTGGCGTGAATATTCTTGAAGACGAAATCTAAATTCAAGACCATTTATCAGATCCTCTACAGGCTTGGCAGGAAATTTCTTAAGTGGTATGCTCCCATTTCCACGGGTTCCCTGGGCCCGCGCCCTATATCCGGATTTCGAAGGAACCCTGGAAGGATTAGAAACATTTACTTGGCGAGCTGCGTAATTGGCTACTGGGGCTAAGTTCGAAACATGAGTAATAACTCTTCGGCCGCGGATAGATCGACCGGATAGATCGGATGATCTA